TCGAATGTTTTCTATGCGAAAAATATGTCTTAATTTGACGAAAAAGCTAGAAGATATTTTATGAGATTAGAAGTCGATTTATGGTAATCTTCTGATCATATCCCAATCATTTTTGACTTTTAGTTGCATTCAATTGACTCATATCAATCTTCTAGTATCTTTTGTGGTCCAAATCAACCATTAGATATTTACACTTTGGTCCCCATACCTTGGATTTCTTTAATTTTTGCTCCTTTTTCGTTACATTCTTCCAATTCCAACAATTTGCATTGAGTTCAACCTAACAAACATAATTAACACATAATAAGCTATAACTCATTAAAATAACTACAAATACTCCAATTTACTGGCTTGAATAAGTATACAAAATACACTTATCAAAGACTCTCAAACTTGAACATTTGTTTGTCCTCAAACAAAATTGTAACATAACTTAAACAAAAAATTTAAAAAACATTGGCTGTATAATTTGCTTTTGGTATCTGGATTAGAACATATGTATTAAGACTATGAACTGCTACAAAATCACAATGCTAAAATTGATTTCTACTCATTCAATGCAAAACCGACGTGTGTTTAAAATCCATGTCAAGCATCATAAATTTGGGAAATGATTCAAATCCTAACCTTCAATAGTCAAATTTATTCTTTCCCTTCTCACACCCCAAACTTGATTATTTAATTCTCTTCAGAGGGTGTGATCTAAAATTGAATTTATATACTACACCCTCTCTAGTTTTATTAGACTTTACTAATTGCAGTTCCACATATCAAGAAATAAGGATTCAAAATGGACATACCTTATATTCATTCAAAATGGAACAGAACAATGAATCGTCTTGAGTAGGTAGAATAGATAATTCACGCATGTTCGTTTAATCCTTTTCCATCGATGCCGTCAACTCAGTATGGACTTCGAGTTACATATTAACATTTCTACGAGATAAGGGTCTTGTATTGAGCCAATAAATGAACATATAGTATAGATCATAATGTATAGTACTCACTTAAGGATCGTCAATGATAGTTATTTGGCACTTGACTTATTGTGTGCTTGTCAATGATGCATCGGAGGACATCTTGTCTACTTTCTGATTGTCCACCTGCCACAGAAGATTGGGATAGGCTCGTACGTCCATATCTACAGTGCTTTCAATTACAATGTATATAATTTTAATAAAAATTTTAACGTTCACTAGGTTTAACATTTACTTGGAAGGCTGATGGAAAGCTAAATGTATTATACTTAAGCTCAACCTTCGACAACTTAGGTATTGGATGTACATTCCTAAAGACATATAGTGTATCCAAGAAATATCTTCAATCCCATGGATAGTTGTTGAAGGTATCAATATCATCAATAGTTTCTGATGAAAAAATATGTCAATAGACGTTGCCTCAGTATACTTCACAAGATAAACACTAATCTCAACTTCAATTTGTTTAGCATGTGAGAGCAGCTCTTGAATGCATTCTCTAAATTTAGCAACGTAACAGTCAATCATTCATTAAAATATTCATTTAGCAACCTCTTATTTCTCATAATATGGGGCTTCTCTACTTTTACGCTCATATTGTTTAACCTCATGATGATGACAAACTCAAATATTGACAATCGGGCTATCATCCTATCCCATAGTGCAATGAATTACCATCAACTGCCTTAATTAGTCGAAGTAATAATGTATCAACAATTTGACAAAGAACTGTATATGGCTCAATGGATACATCTTCCATGGGCAAGACTGAAGTAATATAGTTGTATGTTCATTTTTATCAAGCCCGCTATAATCGTCAAGAAGATGGAAAAGTTACAATTTGACGTAACTTTTTGGGGATGATCTCTTAATCTGAAGTCAAGAGCGCACTCCATTCTGCAATAATTTTAAACGTTAAAATTTTATACAAGAGGTTATGAAATAAAGCATAATATCTAAAAATTTAACTAACCAAATTATATGCTACTATACACAAAAAATAAATTCATTTCACCGTACATTGAAAAAGTTAAAGTAAAAGAATAAGAAACAGAAAAAAATTTATAAACATTTATAAAAAATAACAAAAATGAAAGTCAAAGGAAACACGGAACTATAAAAAAGAAATGATTTTTTTTAAATTATAAAAAAATGAAATTAAAGTAAAAGAAAAGAATCGCAAAATTGAAATTTAAAAAAATGAAATTACAAAAAAAAAATGAAAATTAAAGAAATAGGGAATTTGAATTTAAGGAAGGTCTAACGGAGTTCGGTGATCCAAATTATAATGAGGAGGAAGATGTGCCTGTAGATGTTCATGATAAAGATACATTTCTTAGGTTGTTTGAGAGTTTTGATGATGGTGATGGAAATCTGACGGGTAGAACAAGAGGGTACAGCATGGCATGTAGATAGTGATGGATTATACTATGATGAGTCAAATGGTCTTAGAAGCTTTCCAAGTGATACTGAAGAGGTCGATAGCTCTTTTCAAGAGCCAAGAATGAGCCTTGGTCTAATCCTGCTATAGACATGCAAGATCCAAAATTCCAAATAGGTATGATGAAGATAATTTTTTGGTTTGTTGTATGTTCATATTAGCAAAAGTAAACTGTCTTAATCCAAATAGTATTGAGCCTTGGTTTAATCTTGTAGGCATGAAGTTTAACAACATAAAGATATTAAGAAATGCAGTTGTATAGTTTTAAGTTAATAATGCAAGGCGGGTCACATATGTAAAGAATGAAAGAATAAGACTAAGAGTCAAATGTCAAGATAACTATCAATGGGAGTTCTATGCCTACCAGCAACCAGACAAGTTTCAAGATTAATACATTTAGAGATGAACATAAATACACAATGGTTTGGCCTATTAGAAGAGTGGATGCTAGTTATTTGGCAAAAAGGGATACAAGGAGTTTAGATCTAATCCAAAAATATCGATAAATAGTTTTATAGAAATGGTGAAGGAAGATTGCATGTATGAGATATCTAAGCATAAATTTTATAGGACTAGAGTTAAATGTGCACAAGTTGTTAATAGAACTTTGGCTTAACAGTACAAGATCCTATGGGACTATGGTGAGGAGTTGAAAAAATTAATTTTGGTAATATCGTGAAAGTTGAAGGGTAGGGTCATATGTTCAAAATACTATACATATATCTGAAGGCTTGCAAAGAAAGTTATAGAGTTGGGTATAACATGTGATTGGTTTGGATGGATGTTTCCTAAAGAGTGCACAAGGTAGGCAGTTGTTGACTGCACTTGGTATTGATGCAAATAATTGTATGTTCCCTATAGCTTGGGCTGTGGTAGATGCGAAGGACAAAATAAATTGGGAATGGTTCTTAGAACTTTTGACAGTTGATATTGGGATGTATAATGCCACGACTCGAGCCTTTATTTTTAACAAATAGAAGGGCTTGGTGGTCCCATAAATTTATTGTGGGAGGGTAGTGAGCAGAGGTCTTGTGTAAGACATTTATATAACAATTTTACCTTAGTGCATAAGCGACTTGCATAAGAGACTGACTGTGAAGGGCATTTTTTGTGCTTCATCAAGGACAACAACAGTGCTAAAGTGGAGAAGTGCAATGAATGAGATAAGAGATATGAATGAAGCAATGTTTAAATGGTTCATTGAGAAACCAACATCACAGTGAAGTAGATCACATTTTCAGGAATATTCAAAGTATGACATCCTATTAAATAAATTGAGTGAGGCATTCAACTTTTCAATATTGATCGCAAGAGAAAAGCTTATTATCGTAATGCTTGAGAAGATAAGACATCAACAAATGTTGAGGATGAATGCCAAAAGGAAAGCTTCTCAAAGATGGAGCCATGCTTTTGGTCCTAGAGTTTTGAGTATTGTTCATAAAGCAAAGACGGATGCAAGGTTCTTGAAGGTTAACTATGATGGAAATGAAAAGTTTGAGATGAGCAATAGGGATGGAATTAGATGAAGTGTGAACTTGATAAAGTGTGAATGTGCTTGTAGAAAATGACAACTTACTAGAATACCTTGTGTGAATACATTATCCGATATGCTATCGAGAAATATCAGCATATATGAATATGTAGATAAATGTTACAAACAAATAAGCTTATCTAAGATCCTATAGCCTAGTCATCCAACCAGTGTCAGGTCTGATTTGTGGCCAGAGCTAGGAAAATATCTTCTCAATCCACCTATAAAGATGCAACAAATAGGCAAACCAAAGAAGTTGAGAAAAAAGCTAGCCACCTACAAGCACCAAAATGGTAAGGACTGGAATGAAGATGACATGTAAAAGATGTGGTGGGATAGGTCGTAACAAGAGAATATGGTCTAAAGTAGATACAAGCAAGATATACAAATAACTTGCAGTGAAATAGAAAGAGAAATGCCTCTACATAGCAGGATACAGCACCAACATCATCACAAAGCCATGTAAAGAGAAAGACTTCTACTCACACTGAGTCGTAGACAAAGAAAAAGAAAATTTGACACAAAAGGACATAGTTTCTTTGTATGATGATCCTTTTAAGCAAACTGTTTGTATGATGAAGTCTTATATGATTATCTTTGGTAGAACAAAATTGGAATTACTTTTATATGATGAACAAATGAATTATGATGTAAAATGTGAATATTCCAATGAAAAAATTGTTGTTGGTATCTTTAATTAGCGACTGTTCAACTTCATTGTATTCTGGTTACCTTGGAAGTGAAACAGTTTTGGAATCAGCAACTAAGTAGTCAAACAAATATTCTAACTCAAGTAAAAGGATTGGAACATAAACTTCAACTCCTTTAAAGGTTTGGGAACTAATCAGCAACTTATTTAAAAGTTTGGAACTTTTTGTGCATTGAACAATAAATGTTTGGGACCTATGATGTGACATAATAACAAGTTTGGGTCTTTATCTACATTTAACTGATAACGTTTGAGACTTGCAATGCATCATCTACAATAGGTTTTCGAACAAATTTTTCCCTCATTCTGAAGCATTTGCATGGAGAGGAAGGGAAAAAAGTGTGAAAATTGAAAATTAGGGCAATATTATTGATAGCATGTCTGATTTAATGGAAAATAAGTTACAAGACCATTGACACACTCAATTTCTAACTCATAAAACAACATTCCAAAATTCTTCAAAACGAAGGGAAGATTCCTAATATCAAAGTCTTCAATGAACCTCAGCTTCTTGCACGTAGGGTGTTTAATTTAGCTTCCATTTCTCTTCTAACACGTAGAGATCAAGAGATTATGTCCCTCGATCTGTCGCACATTGGAAGGTCGCACTAGTAAAAAATGTTACATCCATCAACATCGAGACGCCATGGGCAAGTGAGAAATCTTCTTCCCAGTTTCAAGTTTGTCCATGAGATCTGTATCTGCACAAGATCATCGCATCTATAGACATTGTGTTAGGCTTTATGTTGTAATTGGCGATATGTGTAAAACTTAAGGAGTTAGGAACAATATTGTATAATTGGATAAGGTAGCGTAGGGTTAGAGATCGATTTTGGAACAAAGAAGAAGAAATAAAAGTTTGGGAATTTAAGCTTAAAGAAAAATAAAGTGCTCATGGCATTGAAGAGGCAATTCTTTCAATAGGATGAGTAACATGATGTTTAAATTGGAAAAAATTAATATTAAAGAATAAAAGTCCAAGAGAAACCAAGTACAAAGATAAATAATAATTGAAATCAACAATAATAGTATCACTTCAAATTTATCATATGTTCCTACTATATAGGTATTCAATGTCTAAGGGCCACCTAATCCTTGATTTTAAGGACTCCATCATTGATAAATTGATTTGGGCCCTCAACAATTGCACTTTCCTTGCATTTCTACAAGTAACATAAATGTTAAAATTTGAATCTTTTAAGTTTAAAACACAATTTAAAGCATAATTACTTATCAAGTATAAATCGTAAGGTTCGCATTCCATCTAAACATGGGGTTGGAACTTTACCTGTAAAAAATATAATATTTTCGTTAATTATTTTACTTTGCGCTTGATGACTACAAAATTGGCATTTACCTCTTCTAGCTGCCGGGTTATCTCTTCCTACTCTGCATCTATTTCTTTGATTTACTATACCACGTAACAATTTATTTTAGAGAATAATGAATCTCTGAAAATGTTCTCTTAAGTTTACAGGAATATGTCCATTCAAATTCCATTTAAGCAAATATGGGATCCGAACATCACCTATAAATGATTCTCTAATAATTTCTTTAATTGTTTTACTACACTATATCTTGCTTCAATATTGACGTCTATTTATTTAATTTTACTCAAAATTTTAAATGTTCTCTTAAATTTCAAGATTCAACCCATTTTCCCATAGTTCCCATACCAAGTTAATATGTATCAATTGCATCCTAGCATTGAGGATATTAAATTGAGACTTTGAAGGATAATAGTAGTGGTGGGGGAGAATACAATTGCACCTATCCTACCAACACAGCACACCAATTGCACTAACCTTTTAAAAAAAATAGTATCACTGCAGACATCATCCAAGTCCAACAATAACATAACTGTAGATGTTGCAACAGAGTTTACATAAGTCAAGATATAGGGTCATTATTGCAAATTTTGTAGATGAAACATATTAGGTGCAACTAGAGAATGATTTCACACATCTAGATTAAAATGTTTTGTTAATTATTGTTTGATGATGATGAGAATTTATAGGTTTACAATTTATATTCTTTATTATTATTTTTTTTTTTACTTTCGAGCCATAATAAAATAATTAAAATAAGACGAAAATGTAACAACAGAAGTGTTAGCCATGATAGGCTAATAATTAGATCAAAGAAGTTTGCACATTTAATTTCATACATGAAATTAGGCTCATCACTCTATATTCTACAAAACTTTTTCCTTAAAAAGAAAAAAGAATTACTGTTGAGAAAATACTATAAGCCAACATATTAACATTTGCATACAAATAGATAATGAATGGATGAATAAAAATATCTTCAATGGGATTTGATCCTCGCTTTGCACAAGAGGTGGAGTAGGGTCCATCAGAAAGTTTGCTCATAAAATGATTGCGAGCTCAGAGGGGTGCGTGGGTGGCGCATGTTAGAAGGAAAAGGTTGGAGATTTTGTTAAAGAAATTTCGCACTAAGTGAACTAAATTTAAATACTTTCATCTGAGGTTCAAAAAATATTGTAAATTAATGAAAAAATGAAGCCAAAAAAAATCCTTAAAATGGAGTGAAATTTAATGGATATGTGAACACAAGTTTTAACTTAAACTAAACCAATATAATAGGCAAGAAAAATAACTTGGTCAAAGCATAGGATTCTGATAAAAATTGACTAATTGTGCAACAGTCATAGCAAAGTTTTCTAATATACATATTTTAATTACGAAAAAAATATAGAAATCGAAGAATCTTGTAGAAGAGAGATATTGATTATGGAAATATTTAATATGTTATATTAAAATGCACATGATTCTCTATTCTGTGTGTATGCAGTTGGCTCATTGGAACGAAGTTCAATAACTAAACAAAATATGAATAAGTTATCAAGATAGCAAAGATCGGTAAACAGATAGAAAGCTGCGAAAGTTAAGTATCTAACTATATGAAAATATTGTTAGACTTGATGAAAGAAAAAATATATTGGTATTAGTGTAATCCTAAACTCAAACTATCATAAAATCCTCACCATAAATAACCTTGAAGAATTAAAACTATTATCTTTATTAAGCATTTGCCTCATATTCGAATTTATGTATGATCATTCCATGGCTCGGGTTGCTTGCAATAACTCTATTTTCTTTGCCTATCTCGCAACTACGTGGATTATTTTTGTATTTCTTTCTTGCTCATGTTTCAAGCTTTTTTCTTCTGGGCATATAACTCTTGCCATCTCTTATTTTGAAGTTCTTTCTTCGTTAATGCTATCAATCCAAAATTCAGCAAAAGATACAGCATTGTCCATCTCCAAAAAGAGGAAATAATTACTGAAAAAGTAATAGGAAAATTATAGTCATTATATGAGTAACAAAAAAATAAGTATAAAAAGAATAGAATAAGTAAATAGAATGAACAAAAAAGAGCATCAACTATAAGAAAATTATATATAAGCAATCCAACATAAAACTACGCCCAAATTATGTTTAAGCAAAAGCCTTTTTTGAATTTTCTTATGAAAGACTTTTAGGTCAAGGGGTCGCAGCACGATACAAACAATACCAACCATCCCAAAAGTGTTACCAAATACAGTTTTAAGATGATGAATTTGAAATACTACTCCGTCCACTTAAAATCAAAATTTCTGTATTTTCCAAGTCAAACAATTTTGGCATTGGAGTGGTGCTCAACATTAACTCATTAGTGTTCTAATAAAACAGTTCTCGAAAATAGTTATATGTTCTGTTGGGTTTTTTGATACTTAATAATCCGGGGGATGATTTAAAATAATTGTCGGATTATTTATTGACATAATGGATTTGACTCGGCTCGGAGACGAACTACACTTTTGGATGGCCCATGTCTTGGTTAGTGTTGGGCTTTGGGGTATTTGTCGAATTAGTAGATTGCGGGTTGGATTAATTGTTAGCCCATTAGTTTAGGCTTTAAAAAGCCCCTTTGCACAAGTTTTTGGCCCAAGTTGTATGTCTAACCTATGCTATATATATCCATGTATTCCCAGCCGTTCTCTATGGTGGGTGTGTGTGGAAGATAGGGCCGAGAGAGTTGAGGGGCAGCCGGCTTGGAGGGTTTGTTGAAGTGATTCCCACCATTATTGCCTCTTCGTCTCCTTCCTATTACGACCATCATTCCTTCTCCTTTTGTGAGGTTTGAGAGAGTTTGGGCAGTTCAAAGTGAAGGCGAAAATCTTGGGTCGAGCCGAGGTAAATCGGTGTTCGTTTGATTGTTTTCTGAGCCCGGAATCAAGATTTATCGAGGGATTTCCGCTACATATTCCATTCAATACATGCTATCTCTGCCTGGTACTTTTTAAATTTAAGTTAACCAAGACACGTCCAAAGGTCGGATTAATTTTTCATCAACATATAAGGTTCAAAATTGGTGAGTTTTCCCAGTTTTCCTACTTCACTTTTCTTCGTTGTAGCAAAGTCGGTCCCATTATCGCAAAGAGGCTAAGTATATGCAGTAAGATCTAGAATTTCCACCATTGCAGCAAATTTACTCACTGAAAAAGAGAACAATGAGAATAAAAATTTAGAGTGCTCTTTGTGGCTTCAGATAAGAAAGATAATGTTTAAATTATTTTCAAAAATAACAATTCATACATCCATCAGTGGGTGTTTACTCACCTGAAATTATGCACTCGCGTCCTGCGGCATAAGGCTTCCAAGATATAGTGGCCAAATAACCATAGAAATGGAGATGTCAACAACAAAAAGAAAGATTAATTATTCGAATACTTACATTAGGGAAGCTAAGAGTTATGACATCTTTCTTGCATAATATGGAGCATTCTGTATCAGGTGCAGAGAGGTAGGCAAAATATGGAATGCATATTGACCACATAAATAAACCACATGAAAACTATAAAGTAAAGATACATAATCACATACTTGGGTTACAAATGTTAAGAATTTACTTAATCATGCACAGCGAAAAACAAAACAAATTTCAATTCTCACCAATGATCTATTTTATGTTTAGATAGAAATTGTACCTTTCTTGAATTCTGCAAAGTCCTTTGCCTTTATTCTATTCCAACAATTTTGACTTGTCGCCCACAACTGTTCAATTGTTAAACTTTCAATGAAAATCTACACAAGAAACAAGATTGAGAGAGAATCAAAGTTTTCTTTTCTTGTGCTTGCAAGAATAATGAAAAATTCTCTACAAATTATAAACCCTAGCTACTTATTTATATAAGTCCAAATGAATTTGGCTTGTCTCCTGACTCAGTCCAATATTTAATTAAATTTGGTTAATGAATTAATTAATCTAATTAATTAATTCGGACATATGAATAAGCAACACAATTAATTAATTTATCCAACGATTTTTACATTAATTACTTGGTAAATCTCAATTTTCTAGTTCTCCTTTTGTGTGTAGGTTCCCAATCATAATGCCTAGTGATACGAATTATTATTTTGATATAATCAAAATCGATAAATTAAAACACCATTGTACTGTGACATCTAACAATGAGTCAGAGCAATACATGTGACGAGAAATGTGGAATTACAAAACCAAACTTGTTCAAACAAAACCTTCATATGATTCTTGACATACTTGAATAATATCATATTAACGGCCTTTAGCAGAGCAACTTACAATATCACCAAAGTATGATTGCCCTCAAATAACACACTATGATGACCTCAAGTCAAAGGACCAATTTCATTTTCGAATGTTAGAAATCGACTACTGACACTAAGACAGTTATCCACGTGGAATCTCCCAATGGGTCTCCAATGGTTTGTTCTATAATAAAATATTCACGTGTTCATTTAAGTATCACCACATTTTAGTTTGCGAGATCAGCTACTTACCTTACAAGTAATAAATGCCATACGTGATGGTCTATCCACAATAACAATATTCGTATCTCATGCATTACTTACGACTACGAATAATTTATGATTCAATCATATGGAATTTGTATCTCTCAATCACAACTTTTTTATGATTAACAAATTACCAAGATTTAAATCTACTGACTCTATTATTGAATATTAATTAAATAATAGATCTGTCATAAAATCACAACAACTATATATTAAAAGTGCTTATGTCCAAAGTCGATTGGACTTAGGGTACAACACTTATAACAAAAACAACATTAAGGACCAAAATATAGCAATGAAGTGTGAAAGCTTTCTAAGGAGGTGGGAATAGATTCTCAGGAGCATGATCTTCCCAGAACCAGTCTCTAAGAATAAAATGGTGTTTCCCTTTAGTGCGATTATTCTTAGAGAAGTGATTACTTGTGAAGAACGAGAGATTGAACAGAACAAGAACATACTTGTAGATGTATCAAACTTCTAGACAAAATAGTTTTACCACTTGAGGAAGAAATTACATCTCCGAAGGATCTAATATTTCATGTTTTTCCGAATATAGAAGCATATACCGATAATTTAGATATGATGGAAAATTGAGTGACTCTTATGCTTACGAATGAATGTGTAGATCATATTAATAAAATTCTACTAGAACAAATTCCTAGTCAACTTATGCATATCATAGTTTTAATTAAGTAATTGATAAATCAAAACAGAGCTACAGGAAGGTTTCTTAAATAGCTTGACTTTGAATGATATTCCACCACATGAATTGAAACTTAAAGCAAATTGCCCTGTGATGTTATTATGAAATATAAATTCTTCCGAAGGGTTATGCAATAGGACACACCTTACTTGTCGCAAATTTGAAAAGAACGTAATTTTTGCTGAAATTACATCAGCCGAATATTGTGAAAAGTGTGTTATTATACCAAGGATTCCTTTTATATCTCTGAAAAATGATCAAAACTCAATTCCATTCAAAAGGACTCAATTTCCCAATAAGACAGTGCTTCGCAAGGACGATAAACAAAGCGCAAGGTCAAACGCTTGATTTCATCGGCTTGTATCTTTTGTAACTACTTTTTTTGTCATGGTCAGCTTTATGTAGCGTTATCAAGAGCAAAAACAATCATATCTATAAAAGTTCTAATGAAACCATTAAATACAGATAGTTTATACAACACATGTACACAAAATGTTTGTTACAAAGAAATTCTTTCTTTGATAAATATAGACTTCCCCTCTTCATCATCTACCTCGTAATTACAATTTACAGAGGTGAGATTGGAATCTTCTTCTTTTTTTTAATTGAATTGCCTTCTTTAATTTGATTTATTTGTAGATATATAATCTTATTCTCCTTCACACTAATCATTTTTTTCAGGAGATTGACTACACAAAAAGAGTTGTTAGTGCAGAGAAAATTGCAGAAATTCGTGTGTTTTATAATCTCATTTGTCTACATGGTACTTGAGGACCAGGTTGGTTTACATATATATATATATATAGCACAAATATGCAACACACATACATCTATTGATGCTTGAGAATTGAGATATATATATATAGTAAATGAACGAATCAGTGAGAAATCGACTGTGTTGGGTAAGAAACAGGGTATGATAGCAAATTTATATTGTATATCATTTTTTGGTACATGGAATTCTCTAAATTCCTTGGATTTTTCTCTATTCTCTTCATTTTCTAACGTTTAATAAATTTAATATATACCACTTAGAGAGTACTTCTTATGAGGAGTTGGTCAATGTCATTGAAAAATTTGACGTCATTTTGGAGGTGCTTGATGCTCAAAATCCACTTGGTAGTCGCTGTATTGACATGGAAAACATGGTTAATTTCATTCTTCTTTACTTTTGTTTTTCTTCATTTACTTAGACGTATTAAAATTACGAGAAGACAGTTTGGCTAATGCTGAAAATGACATAATGCATTATTAGTTTTTATATAGTCAATGGCTAATGATCGTGGGATCTACTGCTGTTGATTGAGTTGATAACTTAAATGGTCACTGAACTTTGTAAAAAGTTTTCACGAGGTTATTGAACTTTAAAAATCACCCAAATCATCACTGAACTTTGTAAACGATTTTCATGGAATCATTGAACTTTGCAAAAAGTTTTCACGGAGCCACTAAACTTTAAAAAGTATCTCATTCATCACTGAATTTTGAAATAAGTTTCTCAAGAGTCACTGAGTTTAGTGACTCCTAGGAAACATTTTGCAAAGTTTAGTGATTCCGTGAAATTTTTTTGCAAAGTTCAGTGATGAATGTAATGATTTTTAAAGTTCAGTGACCCTATGTAAATCATTTGCTAAGTTCAGTGACGACTTGGGTGATTTTTAATGTTCGGTGACCCGGTGCAAACTTTTTGTAAAGTTCAATGACCATTTGGATTATTAACTCGGTTGATTATGTTTTTTGAGTTTTTTTTTTAAAGTTTTTTTTTTTACTTTTTTTTAGTTTAAGAGAAAATATGTTTTATGACTTCTCTATATGTGCATTCTTTGGTATTTTTGTAAAATTTGCAATTGGTGATTCTACTAAATGCACAATTTTTAATTAGGGGAATTATCAAAAATGACACTTTTTTGAAAGTTGCTATAAAACTTTTGATGTGCACTAAATTTTATCAAAAATGTCACATTTTTTGTTGGAAAATGTCCAAATTACCCTTAATCTCCCTTTTTTAGGAGCATTAAATGCTCATTAATGGTAGCCTCCAATCCAATCATTTGTAATGATTTCATTATTTAATATGTATATTATAATGATTTGGTAAATGTATATTATATTGTATAATATGAATTGACTAAAAAAAATAAGATAAAAGAAGCAAAACAATCCTAGTTCACATCAAATACATCCCTTCTTGAAAAAACCCTCCATTTTCTTTTATCCTCTTTATTCCTTTATCAACAATATATTGCTATTCAATTTATCATCCATTTGGAGAGGTTAGTTATTACAAATTATTTATATTTTTATGTAATAGTTTATTATTTTTCACATATTAAAAGCAACATGATCATCAAAGTGAAGAAATCATTTAAAACCACTATTAATGATGATGGTATTATTTTTTCTTTTATTGTTTTTTTTCTTTTTCAAATCATTTTAAATGGAAAATATACCAACAATATTTAGGGACATGTCAACTATTCCATATTTAATGAAGCAGTCATTTGTTTATGGAGATCTGTAGAGCAATGGAATAATTGTTGTAGTTGAGAATTGATTGTAACCATTAATATTTCGAAGAAAGTAACAAACAAACAGGCGTTAAACTTGTCGTCGGTCTCGATAGTTTATCTGTCGATCCCAACGGTTATACATGTCGATCTGTCGAGATCGACAGATAAACTGTCGGGATAGACTTTTAAACTGTCAAAATCGATAGTTGAAAACTGTTGACACCCTGCATTTCACATTCTCCTATTGTATTGGTTTAAATATTCGAAAGTGCCCCTTCGATGCTATTACATATCGACATATTGACTGTTCATAATTCTTATCGTTGTAATCCCTTTATTTTAGGTATGAACACCCATTTGAGATTTATCGTGTCGCACGAGAGAATGTTTATTCACGCGGATGACGAATGGAAGTGGACAGCGGACAAAACCACATCCATTTTAGTGCCGAGAAATGTTACCCTAGCCGGACTTCTGTTATGGTTGAATGAGAAACTTGGCATTATCGATCCGCACACCGAAATGGAATTGAAGTTTAATGTCCCGAACATGAATATACCGCCAGCTGAAATACGTGAAGATGAAGACCTCATGTGGTACATATCTGTTCATACGGAAACTGCTCTGTGCGTTAATATTGTGGAGA